AAAAAAAGCTCAACTATGAATGGATAACAAACTTGGTATCAACTGGTCAGTGATATTGATAAAATATGAAAACAGGTCAAAGCATGAATACAATGTTTTCAGCAACATTAACATGAGTGCATTTGATACAGAGAAGCGCAGCACTGCAGAGGCTAGGTTAAAAGAATTGGCATGAGAAGTCGTGTTGTAGAGCTTACAGAACTGGAGGTTAATGAACAATCGTAATGTTTGTGGAGGAAGGCATTCAATGAGGACTTTGCTAAACTGATTTTACTCCTCAGACTGAAGTTAAAGTAGACCCCCCCTCCCCCCCTCTTTTCAGACACATCCTGTCAATTTTGTAAAAAGCTTCAAAAACATCATATTTAAGGTTGTCCTTTAGCAAAGAAGCTGGATTTGAATATTTAGGACAATATTCAACTTTATTCCCCTATCACATGCACGTACAATCACAAATTAAGTATCTCAAAGTGTTTCAAGTACTCTTTTGGCCCATATGTGGATCTCCTCAAATACCCGGTGGCAACAGGTTTTCTCACTGGGGGTCTGTGCTGGACGATCCCACAACACCGTGCTGTCGCAGCAGGTTCCTCAGGATCTGATTCTTGGACTTCCAGTCTTCCACCTGAGCAACAGCAACACACAATACATTAACCATGTAGCAACACGGGCACAACAGCTGACTTGTGACTTCACATTTAACTGTAAGAACAGGTTTAAATGATGATGTCGGACTGATAATCATGTATTCCAGTGGTGTGTCACTGATCTCTTGATAACTGAGCTGGACACAAATGTCCACTTTGACAGTTTTCTGGGTTTCAGATTTTTATTTAATGTTGTATTTTGCTTTACTACAACACAGAGATTAATTATTGTTCATTTATAATCATAAACAAGGATATATACACCCAAACTGTGGGGATCAGACAAAGCACAACGTCATCCTACCTCCCCTGAGGGGTTTCACAAAGAGCACTACTAACTGACAAGAGGCGGGGACTGACGACGTGTGTAGTCCTGAACAAACCTGCCTCTATTGTCTGTGTAAACATGTTAAGTTTGACTATGATCACAGTAATGGCAGTAAATACACACACGTGTATATTATCTCTTTTTGTTACTCTCTGTATATGTTCATTCTTGGCTGGAGCAACTGTGACAAAATCAAATTTCACTATAAAACTATAAAACACATGCTGATGTACCTCCTGTCTGAGTAGCTGGTTGTCGTGCCTGAGACGATCAAGAGTGCCGATGTCTTCCCCCAGCTTCAGGTTGCTCTGTCTGAGTTCCTTGATGTAATCACAGGCTTTAGATAAGATTCCTCCTTTACTCTGAAACAAAACACAACAGAGCTCCATCATGAATTGCTCTTAGTTTTTTTTTTTTTCCAACCTCTCCAGTGTAACGATGATTCTACATCTTTGTGCACTGACTGCTTATTAACATGAGGACACAGCATTCTCACTGGGTCATAATTTGACAAAAGGAACCAAAAACCTTATAGCCCAGGAACACAACCACAACAGATCGGATTATTGAATTAGAGCTGGAAAAGAGACGAGCAGTAATAACCGAGCATTTTGAAATGCAAGTCTTAAAATAAAGATTTAAAAGGTTTTGTGGAGACTAATCGACTGAAATACAACACAGGAGTATTTGACTAACGAGAAATGAATTTGGGCCCTGGTTCCTGTGTGAGAGTCTGATGCGTTGAGCTGATCTCACCTGTCCAGTCTTGGTATAGTCAACGTTACAGTCTGGAATTGTCTTCGACAGCTGCACTATCCAGTTGTTGATCTTGTCTCGCCGCCGGCGCTCAACTGTTGGGACAACATTTGAATTCAAGACTGATATTTGCAGCAAATATTTATAAAGAATATCTTGTCCTTTAGACTGCATCAGACGGTCAGCTCTAACCCTCATTGTGCTGGGCTCGCCGTTTGTCATCTCTGGAACCTCGAGGAGCCTCTTGCTTCCTAGAAGACAAATTAGAATAAAGATGTTCAATTGGTTTAAATTGTTAGATGAAAGATTTTCTACATTAAAAACTCACAACGTATTTCAGTGAACTGTGACACGGCTGTAATTCTTTTAGATCATAATGTAATTACGCTATGTACGGCTGAGTACGAGGTGCGATTGTCCTTTGATTGGATCCCGTCAAAACTTCCTGGGGAGACATCATCACATAGAGCTGCCCTGTAAAACAAAACAATGACGTCAGCTGCAGAGAATAAGTTTATATATATAATATATATTTTTAAATCTTTACAAATTCATGCAACATAAAGCCTGACTCACTTCAACCACCCCTCCATCGGACTAGTTGTGATATAATACGTGAATTTTCCTTTTTCTATGAACTTTCCCTTTAAAATAGTTTAAAAAATTGCTTTACTTTACTTAAATATTAGTGATTTTACTTGAAGTGAATGATTATTACTGCTTTTTTAGATTTTACACATCCAATGTAATAGTGTTGAAATCTAAATGTATTAGCTTCAGTGTACACACAGTGTACACACAAATACACACTGTGCATGTGGAGTGATTACCTGTGGGTGTGGTCTGGCCCAGCAGCGTGTCAGAGGCCTGTACCGTGGTCACCATGGTGCCAGTTGTGGCGTCTGCGATGGTGGCGGGGTAGTACGTGTACTGCGTCTCAGCACTGCCGTCTCCCTCCAACCCCTCCGACTGGGAGAACACAGCCTGGAGTCAAAGAGACGTTTAAAGAATATCAGTCAAGTATCATTGTCATTTAAATGTTAGATGCTACAACTTAACCATTTCAACCAGCCTCATCTGGCGTAAGTTGTTTTTCCATGGCAAGAGAAGACGGGTTTTAACTAAACCAAATGCTGATTGTTAGGTAATAGCAGCTGAAAAGGGCCGTCAGTGAGTTGATGGCACCTAGGGGGTCAGCCCAGGACGCCAGGATTCATTATTAAACCCTCTGGAAACTGTTGTGGGTCAGAGGACCTGGGCTGAGGAGGCCGTCCTTCATATTGGGGCCCAGGAGGCATTTGTGTTCACAACGGTGAAAGGAATGTGGCTAGAGGTTTCCCAGACCTACCCAGGAGAGATCTTTTCACCAGATCTGAACAGGGTCTGTATTTTTGGTTAAAAAAAGTTTGTGACTTTCTCACCTGTGTGACAGTCTGACTGGTTGCGGGGAAACCAGCGACGAGGCTGACCGCTGCAGCTCCGTCTGTCTGGGCCTCCAACTGGCCATCTGACACCTGGATCACTCTGTAGGTCACCTGCAACACAACACGTTACACTGAGTGGTCAATGTCTTACTCCAATGGAGGTGACACACACACACACCACTGTTTACATGGGTCACGACAACTTATACCAGGGTTACGACTAACACGATTATCTAGTAAAGTGAAGACAAGAAATCTGAGTATGTACAATGATATGAATGAAGAAAACCTGTTATTAATATATTTTTATATTTCTTTCAAGTGCAAACTCAAGTCAGTCGTAGGAACTTGTGTATTTTCCAAAACAATCAGCTGCTTTCAGATGTGCACTGAACTTCGGAGAATGTCCAGAGATTCTGTATGTGAGAACTCAAATGAGTGTGAGGCTACAGACTTTCTCAGGAGTTTCTCCAGCCGGCGCCTAAGTAAAAACTCCACATGTCCGCATTGATGATGACGCTTCTAACACGCGATACAAGATGTCAAGAGATCTTTTGGTGATAAGAGCCGAAATAAAAACATGAGATCTCCGCAGCATAATGAATACGTGACTCCCTGCCTCTGTCTCTCTGAGTGGAGAATCTCCTGCTGCATTGGGCATATATGAAAGGAAAACCCCGGAGAAAGTCCGGATCAGTTGTGCGGACATCCTCCAGAGTTCATGATGGAAAACAGCTTGTGGAACCTGAAGTGGACCCATTTATCCCGGACATTTTCGTGAGATCATGTCTGAAAACGGGGTATCGTGACTATGTCAGCTCAAAGGCCTCTTGGCGGGAATAAAATACTTAACAGATTTGAAATAGAACCTCACACAGGTTGATTTAAAATGGCCAGTTTGTTTTAACAAAACATTTGAAAACATTCCTTCCTACCTGCCCGCCTGCTCCTTCTGTCTTGAAGAGATATTTGATGGGTTGGTCAGAGAACGTGGCTGCAGACTGAATGGTGGCAATAGCTGCTGGATCCTCAGCGGTGGCCACGGACCCTGCAGGGGCACAAAGCCACACAACCGAAGTCAGTTTACAACTGTCAAAAACAGGTCCTGGGGAAAGAGGGCACCTGTCAACCTCACAATAGTGTGGCAGTAATCCTCACACAACCATGTGCATGTCTGTGCTTTTACCAGGTCTTAAAATGAGGAAATGTAGAGGAACTTTTTGAGTTCAGTGCATGTCTGACAGCAGCTGACGGAAAGTATAACGTGGAGGTCAGTGTTGATATTGTGGTGGTGGCTTTACAAACAACAACAGACACTGAGAAGCGTAGATATGTTTAAACTGTAGTGGGTGCAACGTCGTCTGAGTAGGCTGACCCAACCCTGAGGACATCGTACAGGATGTTATAAATTAACACGTGAACAACACAAGGGAAATCAGATTAGGAGACGCTAACGTGAATATTAAAGAAGTAAAAAACAGGGTGAGGAAGAAAAGACCCTCTACGGTTGATATGTGAACAAACCAGTGACTACATGTAAAACCCAAGATTAGGAGAGGGATGAGAGGTGATGACACGCACACGACTTGTTTGAACACTGAACAAGAAACGTGTCAACACAGTGACTGTTCGTCTGGTGAAGGCACGAACAGGTGTGACATCAACTGAGAACTTTAAACACAACACAATAACCAAACCCTGAGTCAGTGGGTGACATCCCTCTCACCTTCCTCGTTGATGGTCACACTCCCATCCGGCTCGGGGCTCTTCTGTTGGCTGCACACACACACACACACACACACACACACACACACACACACACACAC